TTCAATAGCAGCGTATCTGGAACAAGGCCATACCATTGTTCCCACCCCACAGGCTTTTTGGGATCCTCAGCAAGGTCCTTGAAATCTGCATTCGTGAATGTGGTCTCGTCTGCTTCGATATCCGCCCAACTCTTGCCATTGCCGAAGACAATGAATTTCTCCTTTTCCTCAACCCAGGCCTTTCGCAGATGCATCAAGCGTTTCTCCATGTCCTCGATGGATTTGTGGAGGATGCGATGGATGGCCGGATTGGGGACTCGATTGAGTAGCAAGAATAATAGGGCGCATTGAGTTTGAAGAGATGCGTGGCCAGTACCTGTTCCATCCGTGAAGAGTGGATGTAGGTGATGCGGATTGATATAGGCCTGGCAACCCCTTGCACTACACCTGTGTTTAGGTCCTCCGTCAGGTCGAGGTTGAAGCTTGGAAAGTTTTCCCTTCTCGCACCGAGGGCAAGTGTGCCCTGTCCAATCATGTAGAAGGCGATCTGCGTGAAGTAGTTGGATCAAGGCATTGACAGACGTCTCAAGGAAATCCATTAGTTTTCTCTTCCACGTCACCCGATCCATGCGCTGCATATTGATAGCATCCTTGGTGCGCACATACGGGATATTTTGCCATCCTTGGCTCTTCCTCTTGGCAGGTCTTTTTAGAACTGATCTCCCCTTGCCTTTCTTAGGGTCCGGAAAAGGGTTGAATTGTACATCTGGGTTCTTATTAGGTTTCTTCCCCATGACGGCACTACACGAATTGAACCAAGAGTGAGAACCGAAAGGCTGCGCAACGACGAGCTGGACAGTGCGATAGGAACATGATATTAGAGAGAGATGAACTAGAGCCTGTGCCATGATGCAAGAAATTGAAATGCAACAAAACAGAGCCGACTTACAGGCGCGCACCTTTTTGTTCGAAGCACAGTTGCTACTAATATATTATAGTGAAGCAATGCAGCAGTTGAACGTGGCAGCATGTGGCTACAATCTCACTCATCATGGCCAAGGAATTTCGCAGCTTCGTCATCAGCAGCCCAATCCATTTCATCCTGCTGGCTTGGCTGAGCTTCTGCTTCTTCAGCCTCATGATCAACGGCATCATCTGCAGCCTGAGCCAAAGTTTCCAGATCCTGAGATGCAGGTGGGGCGGCTTCAGAACCATGCGGCGTGCTCTTCAAACGCATGCGACGATCTGGGTAAAGGAAATTTCCTCGCCGACGACGAAAGGGATTGGTTCCAATGGGAAGCATTGGTGGCAGCACCGCGGCAGGAACTTCATCAGAATCATTTTACGACGATGGAAGAATCCGGGCTGCGCGGTAAAGCAGTTTTGCTTGAACCTGATCATTGGCAAAGGCGACGTAGTCCTTGATGTGTTCATCGGCAGACAATTTAGCAATTCCTTTGTCAATCAAGGATTATTCCCACATCAATATCGAATATGGGGCCGGCTTCCATAGTACCAGTCTTGTACTTGCCATACAGTGGTTTGACCCGTTCATCCAATAAGTCTTTGTGAAAATATTCGACGCAGATGCGATATATTAGGACGTCTCTATTGGCATTGGGAAGTCGCAGGCACAGAGCGTTCTCAGAAAAGAACAACATTGGAAGATGTCGGACAAAAGGTGGAAGAACTTCTGTTCTGAAATCGAAGTGTTGCCTAGTGCACTAGCTTCCATTTCATCCGACAGGTCATTCGAGGCAAATGCTCGCAATGTCATCCTCATCTGTACTCATGAAATTCTTCAAGTCTGCAATATTAATTTTGGATCGAAACGGGTCGTCGAGGAACAAAATTTCGTGCACCATGGGATCCCGATATCTGAAGTTGTCAAGAGATTTGGCACGACGCCATCCTGGCTGGAGGCCTTCACAACCATTGCGACGAAGGTGATACCTGCCAAGTGCCATCGCCAGCACAATGACAAAAGGGGTCTTGCCAACGCCGGGTGAGCCCAGCAGAAAAATGCCAAAGTGGAGCAGGAGCGGGTACAAATGAAGCAATAGAAATTCTCGCATGAATGGCTTCAGGCTCATGATTATATGCTAAGTATTCCAGCAATTCCTCGACTTTTGTTTTGGGCCATCTGTTTGACCTTGCCTCAGGCCATCCAACATGGGGGGATAGAAGCAGCCTTGCTATTGATGAATATCCAGAAGGTTTGGTCATTGCGCGCATCACGCTCCGGATCGCAAGTGTTGATGAAATTGATGCCCTCCTCCAGCTCATGATTGGCCGGATTGCATTTATCCTTTGCCAATGTTGAATTTGGAGGATTTCCAGAATAAAGAGAATCCCATCGCACCTAAAAACCACCTAGGCGGCAGAACTTTTGCATTTACAAAGGCAAAATTCCAAGGAAAATTTCTTAGACACTAGAAAAATACCAAGAATTGAAAATATATCATAGTAAACGAATATAAGAATTTCGTCACCAAAAATAGATTTTAGATCCTCAAATTATTAAATCCAAGAAATTTTTCCTAGAATCTTAGATCCTAAAGCTCCTAGATCCAAAAAATTGAGCATTTACAAATATATACAAATTATATGTTTACAAGCGCAAAACAAATATTTTATCAATTTTTTTATATTAAATATTAAAACATAATAATTTTAACCAATACAAAAGATTTAAGAGGAAGGAGATAAGAAAGGTAGAATAACGGGAAGAGAAGAGAACGCGAAAGGCAGGAACAAAAATACACTATTCGACATGGTAATTTATCCCCTCGGAGGCGACCTTTCGTAAATATATTTTTATATGCATTTTAAATGTTAAAATATATGTTCTCGAAATATTCAAAAAGATTCTTAGGAACATAAATTTGCCCCATGGCTCAAATCATCGGAACATCATAAGATTTAAATTATCCTAAAGCCATAAAAAGCTCACGAAAACGCTCCTCCAAGAAAGAATTAACGTGCAACAAATTCTAAATATATATTCCCTGAGGAAATATCTTTCTTAATTAGAATTTTATATTCATTCTTACGGGTTTCAATTATCCTAAAATCATAAGAGGCTCACGAAAACGTTCTCCAAGACAAAATAGATTTTAGAGGGAGAGAGAGAAGGGGGGTCTATATTAAAAAATCAATTCCAAAGGGAGGGGGAGGTCTGTAAAAAAAAAAAAAAAAATCGAAGGGAGAGGGGGGATTTAAAGTAAACAATCAATTATCCCCTAAAGGGCTACCTTTCATAAAAATAATAAAAAAATAAAAATAATTATCAAATATACGATAATTATCGATCAATTCTAAAATAAAATATATTTTTAGAAGAAATACCTCAAAAATCTAATATTAATTTAACATTATCTCGTTATATCACCACATATTTGCTTCTAAACGAACATATTAATTTTATATTCAATCCTTAAAACAATATATAAATATAAAATTAAATATGTTTATCGATTTTTTTTAATAATTCTTTTTTAAAAAATATATATATAATTAAATATATCATAATTAATTTAAAAATAGAATTATAAACATATAAAATCATTATATTTCCCAATATATATTTTATATAATATATTAATTTGTTCGGTAATTTTAATATGTTTTCTTTTCAAACATATAATCGAATTTAAATATGATTTTATATATTTGTTATATTGTAATCCATTTTTTTATATCGTAATCCATCATATATGCATATTTTAATTAAAATATATCATAATAACATTAAACATCTTATATATATGTTATAATTCCTATATTATTGGTCGACAATATTAAAATGATCATTTCTATATTTTGTCCTTTTATATATTTAATATTCGGAAGAAATGCCATGACACCTGGCATGAATTGGTTGTTGTAGATAATATTCAATGATAATATAATGATATTCTGATATATCTCAAGACATGCATAGAAAATATTTTTCTTGGGTGAAGAATATTTAGGATATAAAGATGTGGTTATTTTTTTGGTTATATAACCCAAAGCCCAAAGCTTCAAGATCTTTCGATAATCGCATTCTTCACGCTCCCCGCTGTTCCTCTTCGTTTCTTACAAACCCAACGACTCACACGTCTGACCCCGTCAGTCCCTCACAGTGGACTGGCACGTCGACGTTGGACCGGACCCGCCTCCGCCCTCCAAGTCAGGTCTTTGCTGAAAGGGGCTATCCAAGTGTCCATAGGTGGCCTGCTTCGGAAGTCGGACGCATCTGACACACGGCCGGCCGGGCCAGAGGTGACGTAGGCTCGACCGGCCGATGCGGGGCGAGTCTCGGGCGATTCGAGCATGACCGGGAGCTGGAGCTTGGTCGGTCGGTTCGTTGGATTCTTTCTGTTCGCTGCCGTGAAACTTGGGAGGCCACGCCTGGCCAATCCTGCAAGAGGCAACACCCCGAAAAGTGGGAAAGTTGAGACCTCCACACTTTTTTTGCCGGGGAAGGTGTGCTACAACTCAGACATGGTACCTCCCACTTGATTGAACTCGGGCGTTCTACTGAACCCCACAAAGCGCCACCAAGGTGGCGCTCCGCCCAGGCTCAGAGGGGAACCCGCCTGAAACCACTCCTCATCTGAAAAGAAGAAGGCACCCAAGCGCTTTAACTCGCCTCGGAATCACATCAAATGCACACAACAAGTCAACACAAGTCAACAGACATAGTCAGACCATGCAAACCAAACGGACGTGGAAGATCGGATCTCTGCGGAACGATGTTGGAGTCTGGATTCGAAGGTGATTGAAATGTAATTTGACCTGGAATCACCTGGGAAGATGCTGGCATGGGCCTTTGGATAAGATGCTTTTCCTCTACAAACTCAATCTGCTCTTCAGGTTCCAAGGTGGACCCCACGAGCGAAAACGCGAAAACCCACACCGTCCGCGCGAGACAGACAAATCATCCGTGCTTCGCGAGACTCGGCGCGGCGCGCGTTTCTCGCGGATGAGCCCAGACGCCACGGAACCCCTTGAGCTCCCGGACGTTTGTAGGGCCCCATATCGTGGATCGCCACGAAGGCCACCTCTTGAGGCCAAGCGATTTCGGACCCCTTCGGCGGCGAACGGACCCGTGAGTCAATGCGACCGGTCCGGAAGCTGCGTCGAGCGACCGTTCGGATGTTGGGATGTCTGAGGGAGAAGTCCTTTCAGATAGAAAAAACAAATCTCAAGTGACAAACCTTCAGCTGGACGTGAGGCAGGTAGTTAGGTCTTGGTTTCATGGCCAAAAACGGATGTCATCCCATGACTCCAAGTCTTCACCACACAATCCGACCAAACCGACCACTCAAAATCCGTCCGTTCTGCCGGGCCCCTGCAGCTTCTCTCTCAGCACCTCCGGTCGCTCGCAAAGGCTCAGCGCCAAATGGATGGCCAGTTCTCCCTTGGGCCCGTCCACGAAGACGGCCTCCAGTCAACGAGTCCAGAACAGAGATTGAGATATATGGGATTATATGGGCAGTGTAGCGAAGAACCAATTACCTATACTAACCATACCTGCCATTATGTTGGTTGAGGGTCTTCATTATATACTCATTGAAGTCCACACCCAAATATCCACCAAAGCCAAGTGTTGTACCTTCAGATTGGAGATTGTTGTATAAAGATCATATTACCTTCCAGTTTGAAGCCTTAAAAGTGATTCTTGTTCAAATCCTCTGTCATACTGCTGTCTCCAGAGTGTGGACTCCTCGTCCGATGTTGTGGGGTGTCGATGGTTTTTGGATGTGTTCGGTGTCGATGTTGTCGATGTATTAAAAAACCCTCAAAACTGGGGCATCCTGAATCTTCGCCCATTAGGAAAGCAAATAAAGAGCCAAGTCAGCCAGGGATAACCAAGAAACACTTTGGGACTTTGTACGAACCGTGAGAGGACAGAAACAGCCAGGCTAGCATCCAAAAGCTACCACTCAGGGTAAGCGTCTGACAGACATTGTCGGACGTCAACGGTGTCTTCTGGTTTGGCCGCAAAGCCTTGGCTTCCGGGTACCAAGACAAGAACTGCCACTTGAGGTGCTCGCTCAGGATTCCTTTCGCCTTCAAGCACACGACAAGTGCGTCTTTTTTTCGTGATGTCCAGCTTGCCAGTTCGGGAGATCAGCTCGGTAAACACTGCCTGGAACATGGTCTGGCTGAGGGAAGTCTGAGCTTCCCCATTTTGTCTTTGGACATTCCAGCATTTTCCCTGCTCGAGCAAGTGAGGCATCAGGGAGCGTTGCCACATTGGATGAACATCAGCCCATCTCTGTTGTCGGATATATTCCTTTTGCGCTAATCACGGCCATTCTTGTTTTGGCCTGTGGATGATGTTTCGTGGTCCTCGTGAGTCAACAAATACCAAACCGGATCCTCCCAGCTCGATCTCTATATGAGTTAGTTTTCTAAATCGCACCTCTTGGATGAAACACCCTTAGTATAAAGTAAATGACGGATCATTTTGAGAAAAAAACAGCTCATGATATAGAGTTCTGAAAAAAAAAAACAACATAATCATGAAAGCTCACTCTGCCCGACTTCGACAGGTGGACCATCACAGCGTGCAGTGAAAAAATAGAAAAATGTTATCAGCTGTTAGAAAACCTGTTCTTGTTTAGCGTCCCTGAACCGTGGGGTGTCACCAATCCTAGCCACTGAAAACCTCTCGGAGGTGAGCGATGAGCGGTCTCGTTCCAGAAAAAGAAACAAGCACAGGGGGCCAGCCTGCATGGTCTTGATTCTTTCATTCCACGTGCCACCGGCTATGCCCAACATCCTTTTCCCTGTCTGCCCAACCTGGGCCGCCCGGACTGCATGCCTCTCAGGCCTCTCAGAGAGCAGTGCTGGCCTCAAAGGTTTGTTCAAAGGACCTCCAACACCAAGACAGCTCGCATAACCATACTCAAAGAACAAAACATTTGCTATGCTGTGGTGAGAAAAAGAAGTCGTCACCACTGGCGCGATTTGTTGTTTTTTGTGAGTTGAAGGGATCTTAAAATGTTCAACTTCGGATCCTCTTCCTTCTTGTTCATCTGCCGATCTCATGTTGTTTGTCGACTCCTTCAGATTCAACACCTACATGTACTGTCAAAAGCCTAGTCCAACCAGTAGGATCTGGGAAACTACACCTATCCTAGTGAGTAGTGCTGGATGTTTACTTGCAAATCAATCATGTCCTGGATCTACTTTGCACAGCACGTGACCTTGTTGCCTGTGAGTGTCCCTACAGATTTCATCCATATTTGTGCAAGATTCTGCGAGAGGCGTTGCTATTCCTGCATAAACATGAGAAGGCGCAACCTTTTCCTGGTTCATTTAACTCCACACGGCCAAGGGCATGTGGCCGTATCATGCCACAAGGCTGTATTTTCAGGAGCAGCACCGTTTTTTTGAGGCCAAAGGCCGCATTCTCCTAGCTCATTTGTTCTGTCTCGGCGCTGACCGCCGTCTCGAGCCACTGCATGTGTGATCTCTTTTCACCTGGGGAAACCCCATGCGACCAGAGTGTCCAGCATCGACTCGGACCGATGTGCGAGAGGTAGTAAGACATGGTAAGACCGGTCCAAGCCCTGAGAGCCAACACCAAGAAAACAAGTTGGGCCGACACAAGTGCCCGCGCACAAGGGGCTTCACTCGGACAAGCGTTTCGAAAGAAACTCACTGCTCACATCTGCTCACTCCTCCCTGAGAGATTCTTCACTCGGCTGAATCAACTGAGCATGCCCACAGAAGGGCTTGGCCATCTCCTGGAAGTGACGGACGTGAAAAACGAATCCTTTTAGTATGGGTCACACGTTTGCCTAGTGCCGGGAAAGAAACACCATACAAAACAGTTATATAATAGAAGAGATGTTGTGCACAAACTCAAACCTGCCGCACATGGCCACTGTTGGTCGTTCTGTGTTGGGTTCACCCTGGCGATGGCTGAGACACTTGTGATTGAGCTGATCACCTAGAGGAACTCAGGTAACTGGGCAACCAAAAATGTTGGGATCCGAAGACCACCCAACATGCCAGGTGCTGGCCCACCTCAAGTGGATCGAGTAAAAAATGACATGAAAGCCGTTGGATCGGCACCTGTTGGTGTTTGGCGGTTTTTGGATGTGTTTCCCTTCTAATTCTACATGGCCACCTGTATAATATAGGAACATATAGGAACTATAAGTGCTCTTGACGCAAAGAAAAGCACCTGCAGGAGGTACCACATGAAACATGAAAGTAATTCTTAATTCCCCAACAGGTACTTTTGCTGGACCTCCACTTTCACCATAGCACAATTAAAGGCTACCCAATAACCATGGACGTCTCTCTCTCTCTCTCTTTCTCTTTTTTGACAAACACACACACACAACTTATGAACATATTGGAAACAAAAGTTACAGACCACAGCCCACCTTGCTCAATATAACGTTCAACCCTCTGCAACCCTCAGCATTCACCAGCCCGATGGCATCTCGGCCCTCCCACCTGCGTACAGCTTCACGTTCCTTCGTGGTCTCAGTCGCGACTCTGCCTGCGTCCAGGCACCCGGGTCGGGGCCAGCCCGTGACGCCCCTGCTGGGTGAGGCCAGCTCGTGTCAAAGACCATGTGAGTTTCTCCAACAGAGCTAATCTGGTCACAACATGAGGGAACATGAGGGGTAAAGAACATCGCAAAATCTATGTCTCACTTTCGTGTAAAGAAAATAGCAAAGCATCCTGTCTCATCCTGTCTCACCAACTGCCTGCAAGTGCATGAAATTCCTTCTCGCACAAATCACTCTGCTGATGTTGCAAGAATTCTCTATTGGTATGCTCCATAGGTCCATAGATCGACTTGCTTTGCCCTTATACACACATAGTCACATAGTCATCTATACATGATTGCTGTGGCTTGGTGGACTTGGGTGAATGTGACTATGTCATTGTACATGAACTGAACATGTCTGACTATGCTAATTATAGAGACCCCCAAATAGATAGTGGCACGGTTTCCAATACTAATACATGTTGAGTGGCCATCTACTTCTCTATCATGTTCTATCCATGACCGGGGGGTCTAAATCTTTAAGTGTGTCCCCAACTTCCAAGTCTGCAAATCTAAATTCTTGGTGCCCTCGCCTCCACGGAAATCGCTAGGTCGATCGCAGCCACCTCCTTTAAACGCAGTCGAGGAGGATTGTGAGCCGCTTGGTCCACTTTTCGGTGCAGGACAGCAACCCAACGAGCTCATGGTCTGTAGGGAGACCCACAAAGGAAAAAAAACAACTCACGTGTACTCCGTAGTTGAAAAATCACCTCCCTCCCCTGAGCCATTGCTAGCTGCTAACAGCAGGTCTGAGATCATGAATTCGTGAATGCTCTGATGTCAGATTTTTGTCCCATTGGTCGCCCAACACGTGACACCCGGGCCCCAACCGCCGACGAAGAAAAGGGGAGCTCCGAGCGAAGAGGCTCCGGGGCAGATCCTTGGCGAAGAGGCTCCAGATCTCCGTGGAGACCTGGGTTGTCCACCCAACCGCGCAGGGGATGGGGCCCAGGTCCAGTCGGTGCATGGATATAGAGAAAAGAAGATGGGGGCTTCCTTACTACGCACTTGCGCAATAAAGAGCTCCAAGTTACACCAATCTACCTGAGAGTTGGAGTATGTTGAGATTGGTTCTACCAACTATCAGGTTGAGCTCCAAGTGTGGTTCTACCTGATAGTATTTCACTTTAAACCACACTTCGTTGAGATCTCCGGCGGTCGGATCTGGCATTTCAGCGGCCCTGAGACGCCCTGACTCCCTTGTAAACCCCGGACTCTGCAATGAAGTCCACCTGCGGCAGCTCTCCAGAAATCCAAACAGTTATCATACAGTGGATGTGTGTGTGTGTGTATCGCCTTGGTGCACGGCCATGGTCCTGGAAGAAAACAGGGTGTTCGTGAGGATCCATTCACCATTGCTCCGATGGTCAGCAAAGAAGCAATAGTTTTCTTGTTGGGATTCTTGAGACACCTCCAGATACTTCAAGAGATGCATGTCAAGAGCTGCACCCTTCTCTAGTATCTTGGGGTGCTCATTAGGCTGCTTGTGTGGTCTGTGTGGTCTCATTTCAACGATCGCCCGCCGGTCGACGAAGACCATTGCCTTTCGTCCCGACTTCCAAACCTCCAAACACCAATGGTTTACTTCCCCGCAGTCAAGGGCAGTCCCTCCCACCGGCGCAAGAGGTTGAACAAGCATAAGAAACCGATACATCGGGATGGGCTAATGGACATCTTGAGTTGAGAGACTCATTTGGGGTACAGATTCCTCAGACCACCTGAGAAGGTACTCCCCTCTTCGAAAATACCAGCTTATCCCCCCCTTCACATTTGGGAGTCTACCTTTTTGACGTTCCTGGGCCACGATGTGTGATTGTGGGAGACTATGAGGTATGCTTTGGCGGTATGCTTTTGGAGGTATGCGTTGCTAAATATACATAAACTGGACACGTCAAACAAAAGCAAACTCATTTAATTTGTTTTCAGTATCTTCCCAGAAGCCCACCACAACTTGGTCATTCACATCCTTTAACCCTTTTATGTTTGATCTTTTCTCTGGGAAGCGAGTTGTTTAATGTTGTTTACTGTCAAACTCACACTCCCAACAGTCCCACCGGCCTGATAGAGGTGGCAGAAGGAGACGAAGGCAAAGGCCTCGAAGGCCCACTTTAAGAAGAAGAACTCCCCAGCTAAACTCCCCTTACTGTCATGCACTGGCATGATGGCATGGCCGCATGGCGCCGCATGGCCGGACGGGTTCTTTAATCGCCGGACTGGTGCCACGCGTTCGTTGGCTTCGCATTCTTGCCTCTGCCAACCCCTAGACATATTATATAGACGACCCTGAAAAAATACGATTGAACCGGTTGATGGATGAACATGCTCCCCCAACACGCTTCATCCATCTTGGGCTGGGGCCCCCAAGCGAAAAGTTCACTGCGTACCCGCTTCTTTCGGCCCCCAAAGAGGCTTGGTACGCCCAACCATTTTTGCCATACTCAACCGAGGTCCAACTATACACAAACCAAGGACATTTCCTTTTGCAGGGCGTGCCTACGTTGCATCATGAGCAAAGCATGGGCTTTCAGCAATGCGCGTGAGAAAAACTGTGCAAAACACCCTTCGCACTTCTCGGACACACAGATTCCTACTATGTACTTGTCACGTTTCAAACAAGCTTCCTCCGTGCTATGTGTTTGCTGTTTTTGGGATGGTGGCAACGTGTGGCAACCAAGAGCTTCTCCTGACAGATATGCATCATCTGTGCCATTTAAGCACCCCAGTAGCATCGCGATGTTTTACCCTAAAGTGCCGCAAAAAGGCTCTGGTCACATTCTTCACGCTACAACTCCTGCCAAAACCTCGGATGGTTGCTCGCCTCCGAGAAGTAGACGCTATTCTCAGTGATGGACAACTCGTAAACCTCAACTGAAGACGTTCTGACCACTCTTCATTATGCCAAATTACGGTTCGGGGAGGAGGATGAGATGACCAAACACCAAAGCGACAGTTTTGCAGCCAAACGCTTCGACCGGGCTTCAGCTGATGGCGGCATGTCCCAAAAAGTCCTCGGGTCGTATCCCCCGGACCCGGCATGCACGGCTGCTCTGCTTGGGGACACAGGTCAAAAGTGGGACATCCCAAAAGCCTGACGTCTTTGCGCCCCAAAACGTACAACATGAAAGGCCAAACAGCATGCGGCCTTTCAAACGGTCAATGTTGCATCCAGTGGATTGTGGATGGCTGCGTTGTACACCTTTTTTCCCCACCTCCAAGGTGGAAGGGCTCCTTCAAACACAAACATGACCCAAGCAACCTCAAACATCCTCAAATAACAAAGTTCATTTGGGTCAAGCAAAAGCACCATGCAACGCGTTTAAGAAGTGTTTTTACCGTACTATATGTCCAGCTTTGTACCCAGGTATGGGTCCTAAAAGGATCCAAGTTCCATCCTTTTCCTACAACTCAACCGTTGGGTCTCCCTTCCGGGCTGCACCTTGTTTGCAGCAACCATCTTTTTCCACTCTCTTTCCTTTTGGCTGTCACTCTTTCAGGAGCTCCATCAAGGCCGAGGCGGCGTTGAATCCGCTCCTCAGAAGGAAACTGGACTTAGACATGCCCCACAACCAGACTCCACTGGAAATCTGAGTCAACCACTGGTTCTTAGAGCACAAACATGCTGCTTTCTTTCGGCAGCATTTTCCGGATCCAATGAATAGATCCCGAGAGAACATGACCCTTGAAAAACACACCCAATGAATCCCTACACCAGGTGTTTTCCATCAAACCGCCTGTCTGATGTGCAAACTCCACGGCGTCTTTGGATGGACGGATGCACGATGAGAGCATCCCGGATGCTGATAGATGATCTATAAGGCATAAGGCAAAGGAGGCTGGAAGATGATGGTTTTCTATGCCAACACATGCCAGTCACGAGGAAGCAGGTCAAAGTGGCAGTGAAACGTCAGTCATCCAAAGTACAAGTATGAGGGAGTTTCACTGGTGCGCTCAAAACTCAAAACTGCATTGGTGTCTCCCGGTGTGAAGTCTGATGGTTAATCTCCATTCAGGAGACAATTATTCTGTTTCTATGTTGTGTCATGCGCAGTTGACGTGGCAAACAGTCTAAAAGATGTGTTTTCCCATATATGTGGAAGACGCCTCAACTATGTATATCTCCACAAGAAGCCACCAGTTGCTTTGAAGATGAAGGGCAGGATGGAGAAGACCTAGAAACTGACCTGCTTGGTCCAAATGTCTCTTCTACGACTACGTACTGCTGTGCCCGCGAGCCAGGCGTGCAGCAGTAGTGTGTCTCGTTGCACTGTCGCAGATGTATCAAGAACAAGTCCCCTGTCGCAGGGGTATCCATTGCAACCAGCCCTTCCGTGCCCCGGTCGGGTCGAACTCCTTTAGAGGTCCCAAAAGCACCAGGTTTCATCACCGAGCTCGACCAAGTTTTGACCAAGCTTCATCCAGGCGCCCTCCACACGGCCATTGTAGCACCAGTCTCCACACAAATACAATCGGCGCAAAGGGTCACCTGCACAGCCCGCCGACAGCTGATAATCACCGTCGCCATAGAGCCAGTGGATGGCCTGCAGGTGTGGGAGGACACGGCTTTCTACGGTACACTCAGTACACTCCATGTCCAAAGAGTGGTATTTGGTTTGGATATAGGTATAATATGATATAATAATGTGTTTCAGCTACACCGTCCCCTAACAGTGTACACTCCCTGCAATGGTGGAGTTCACCTGTTTGACCTTGGGAATGGCTGGTCATTCGACATCCACCTAACCATGGGAACTCCAGGGAGTGTAGTGACTAGTTAGTGTGGTCCAAACATGAAGCTCTAGATCCGTTTGCTTTGGTCATCTACTAGATTGGTTTTCACATCTGCAGGTTTCTGCTGATTGTCAATGAATGGGTGAGAACACATTCACCCAAACGAGCCAGCTAGCACTCTGGGTGTTCTGTGGAAAAAAACAGAAACCTTTTGAAGTCCCTATGTGGTCATGTACCAGCTTCTTCAGTTCGTAACCTTTTTGGAGTCCCCAAAGTGACCTCTTCCAGGCGTGACCAAACCAGCCAGGGGATCAAGGTGCCCTGTCTGGAGACCTGTAAGTAGGGTAGGGTAGTCTATGGACACTCATTGGATGATCCTGGTAGTCGCTGTTCCATGGTCTTCCACATTCTTTCCCACCACCGCTTTTTCCGGCCGCTTCGCCTTCTGTTCAGAGACCGACGGCAGCTCCCCCAAAAGCCGCGCGAACTCCGCTAGGAGCTGGCGGCAAATCTGGCGGAGAGTCGGAGACATGGAAGCCACGGGTTTCTCAACACTGGGTTACAAAGGGGAGGTGGATGACAGGGCTATGAACGACACATGACACGACACCAACCAAAGATGATGAAACAACAAAATCCACAAAACAAAACATAATATCAGAACAAAGTAAACAACGACAAGATGCGACCTTTATATACCTGTACAGACTTCAGGAAAAACAACCACGGCCGTTCTTCCGCCTCGTCTTCGGGCCGTTCTTCCTTGAGACATTCTGCTGCCCATTCCGTGCTCGTCTGCAGCACCCAGACTTCGCCGCTCTCCGCGGCGAAGTCGGCGGAGAGCTTGTCGCCCTGATTGCAGGGGGATGGGCAGAATGCAAAAGCTCTGCAGCTGCATCTTGGGGTAAAAACTATTGGTAAACTAGGTAAACTAAATGATTGACATTCTCTTTGCGTGTTTGGTTTGAGCTCTATGGTCAATGATGTCTAATGTGGGATTAGATCGGATTAGACTTAGACACTGCTGCTAGAATGTATCGCTCTATTTCAAGGACAACACCAAGCTAGAGGTATCCAATGTTTATAGGGGAGACTGTCACAGCCTGTCTTAATAGTTTACAATATATTAAAATATATATCTTGAAACAATGACTGAGAATGCCAGCTCATGAAATCTTGATTCCAAGGATCAGTCCCCAAGCCGAGCCCAAGAGGCACCTGGAAAAAAATACGACTCCAAACAGGTCCAGTGGCTGAAGGCATGGACAAAAAGGGACGCCCCAACGCAGTAGCAGCTCACGTTGGGAGAAATCGCCTCCGTCCCCCACTGCACTCGAAGCAAACCCAGTCCTGAACTCCCCACCTGTTCCACGAGAGGATTTGGATCAAATTTCCCCAGGAACAACAACAACAACAACAACAACAACAACAACAACAACAACAACATGAAACAAACAAAACCGACTCCGTTTCAGGTGAGTCACCTCAGGAAACCGAGAGAATCAAACCGTTACCCGCCAAAAGCCACGACCACCGCGACCTCGGCGCGGAGTCGCAGACCTCGGCACAGGAGGTGTCATTGAGCACCAGGGTGATGGGCGAATCCTTCACCTGGGCAGCGCGTGACGGGAAAGAGCAATCATGTGGGGGTGAAGAATGTGGTGGCGACCATGGAAGTATGCGTTGAACTCCGTTGATCACATTGTTTGATAGGGACTTCAAACCGTGTCCATTTTTTCCGTAGAACACGTCACACCGACTGCTAGCTGGCTCCTGTTGGGTGAGTTGATCATGTTGTTTTCATTCATTGACAATCAGCAGAAACCTGCAGGTGTGAAAACCAATCTAGTAGATGACCAAAGCAAACGGATCTAGAGCTTCATGTTTGGACCACACTAACTAGTCACTACACTCCCTGGAGTTCCCATGGTTAGGTGGATGTCAAATGACCAGCCATTCCCAAGGTCAAACAGGTGAACTCCACCATTGCAGGGTGTGTACACTGTTAGGGGACGGTGTAGCTGAAATCACAAGGTCGAGGTTGAGGGTATGTCAAAACATGTCAAAACATACTGTTCTCTTGACATTTGAGAGGAGAGATGTTCTACCAGTGCATTAACCGTGCTATATTTACACCTATAGATTTGGGCAGTCAAATGAACAACATTGGACATTGGAACACTACCTGATTTCACCCTCCAAACTTCGCAAATGTAGTCCTTCTGACTAATGATGCCCGCTCTCCAACATGTCCACTTTGAGGCCTCATCTTGAGCTATGACATCCGCTCCACAACTGGCTTCCAAGTCTTCTTTCTATCTACAAGAAGCTACTAGTTACTAGGGGCTCCTGGCCTCACTACTAGGTAGGGGCTCCTGGCGTCGCTACTAGGCCAAGCACCACCAGCGTCTGGTGGCCTTTCCCATCGACCGGACGGACACCGGTGCCGAGCGTCGAAGGCCAGCCGGAAGGGCAGCGCCAAAGAGGCGGTGAAGGCGAACGCCACGGCCACCCGACCCTGACAGCGACTCCCCTTTTGCAGAGTACCGGCCATATCCCAGACGCTCAGGGTTTAGGGTTTAGGGCCAGACGCTCCGCTCCCGGGACTGCCATAGGACTGCCGATGAGGTGGGGTGGTGGTGGTGGTGGTTTGAGGGGTCAATTGATCGGCATAGATGGCAGTCCCACTAGTCGCGTCTGGGTATAGATATGGCTCCAAAAATCGGGATACTGCTGCGGGGTTATGGCGCCACCCGGTTGGATCGGTACAATACCGGTTGACCGACGCCCGGGCGTCGGTCGTTCGCGACTGATCAGTGCCTTCTCAAAGTCCTTGTCCAGCATTTCTTTGGGCAGAATCTCTTCGAGATTGCCAGCCTAAAGATCACGGGCGGATCACACCTTATGGGATCTATATAACATTTGAGAAAGGATCATCCGCAAAGGTAGGGTGGTCGTGACAATTGTTGCGGACCCTAAGACATATATTAGCCCATGCAGAAAAGAAAGAGTACCACGTCTATTTAGAGCTGTGCTCCCTGAATAGATCGAAACGCTTTCTTCTCAGTGCTCAGGATGTTTTGTTATTACTGTTTTATACTGTGTTAAAGGGGATCTCTGTCTGTTTGGGGGTCT